GTGCCCTGGCGTCCTGCACATGGTCTTTCCTCAGCGAAGAGTTTTAGCTCCTGGAACAACTCTTACTCCTCCTTGAGCATCCAGGCTCAGATCAGACCAACGCCTCCTAGGGCCCTCTTCCTGCCCATCTAACTGCAGATTGGCTCTGGGCGTCATTGGCCTCTATGCCTTTTCCCAGGCCACCCCTTCTCCCCAGAGTTCCCTCCCTGCACCTGCCTGGTACACTGGCTGGGGTCCTTCCATTGAAGCTTTCCTTGTGTCTTCACCCTGCCAGATGGTTACTGGTGGAATTGTGCTCCTCAAAAACATCTGTTGAATTTCCGACCTGGAACCTGTGATCTAACTTGGAAATTGGTGTTTGCAGATGTGATAAGGTGGATCTGCGGTGTGCTGGAGCACTACGTTCTGTGCTTTTTATAGGAGACACGCAGGAGAGAAGCTTTGTGAAGCTAGAGCAAAGATGGAGTAATGCAATCACAAACTAAGGGATGCCAAGTATTTCCAGCAACACCAGGAGCTGGAAGGGCAGAAAGAATCCTCTCCTGGTCCCTTTAGAGGGAGCTCACCCCTGCCATACTTAACCTTTCACTTTGGGGCTCCAGAACTGTGAGGGAGTGAATTTCTATAACTAAAAGCCACCCAGGTTGGGGTAACACCCCATGGCACCTTCTCGATGTTTCATTGTGTCCGCATGATCAGGGTCGGGAACAGCTTGGCTGGGACAGAGGGTGGCAGGGAGGGATGGTGTGAAGTCGGATATGCCTGTGACACTGGACCATCCGTCATCTCTCAGGGCAGCTCTTATGTGTTGGAAAGAATGCCCCTTCTGAGGAGGCTGTGCCTCAGCCTGGCCCGTGCCCCATGCTCTGTGCCTGGTCCTGCAGCAGGGTGCTGTTCTTCTGTCCCACGTGCATGCAGGAGAGAGGAGAGACCCAGGAGCTGCCCCAGGAGGCTGCAGGAACTACTGGGGCCAGCAGGGAAATCTTACTTCCTTTGGCAACACTATGGGGCCACAGGGCTGTTTATTGAAACAACTCCCAAAAAAAAGCCATCTGGCCAAACTGTAAGATTCTAAACAATCTAATTCCCTGGTGTTTAAACAAACTTGTATCTAGGCTCTATAGCCCGTCCCACAGAGGGGGCCAGCCTCTCCTCTCCATAGCTAACACTGTGTCCTGCATCTGCTTTGCCTGCCCCCAGCTCTGCAGGCCCACAATCAGGGCTGCTGCTCAGACCTCTCAGAGGCCAGCTGTGGGCAGCAGCCCTAGCAAACGTTGGCAGAGTCCAGGCCAGTGGTGCACACTGTTGGCCTGGCCCTGGACACAGACTTACTTCTGGTCATTCTTAGGGGTACTGGGCATGGGTTCCCTGGAGGCAGGGTGTGCTTGGGGCTTTATGTTGACCTGGTATCAGAAGAATAGGCCTGTGTGGAGCACTGCCAGGATCCTTAGCGTGATGACAGGTTCTGAGCCATAAAGCAGACACCCCAGCAGTAGGAGAGACCTTTCCAGTACTAGCTATGGTCTGTGGTTGTGTGTTTTTTGATGGTCTTGTTCACTTACAGTCTCCTGTTCACTTACAATCTGTGACCTGGGGGAGATCATGGGGCAGACAGATCCTGAGTCTGCTTTGCCCACACCTCCGATGGGTCTGCAGCTTGGCCTAAGGAAGCTACCTGTAGAAATATTGGGAGGATGCTTTAGCCAACCAGGCAGCAAGTAAGAAACGTGCATCCTGCCTGTGCCTGTTGCATGGATCGAAGTGTTCCAGCGACCTTATTTTCCCACTTGTACCCTCTGTGCATCAAGTTCCACATCAGTAGAGTAGGACGTAATCATACATGGTGTGAAGATCATGCTAGTTGAGGTGATGTGTTTCCATCAGGGAGCAGCATTTCCTGTGGAGTCATGGTGAGACCCTCTTACAGACAGTGGGAGTTGGCACACAAACCTCGTCTTTGGCTCAGGAGCCTGACAGCCTCTCTGGGAAGTCTCGCAGGCACCCCTATAGTCCGGGACCGTCCAGGCTGGGCCCTGGGTATCCTTGAGTACCTTTCCTCCTGTCATACTGACTGATGAAGCTGGAACCTGACATGACCTTCGGTTTACAATGCTTTTGATGTCAGAGCTAGACAAGGACTCAACTATATTCCTCACTGTAGATGAGGAAATAGGCTCAGAGATGGCCAGGACCCTGCCCAAGGTCAAACAGCGGCAACAGGCCAGGTTGCTGTCCTACTTCTGCCTGCTTGTTCTGGGATGCAGAGATGCCCCTGGGCAGACAAGCTTGGTGCCTGCTGTGGGTGCAGTGTTGTGTGAGAGGGCACATGCTAGGATCCCAGGAGCCTGTAGGGGTGGGGGTGGCACCCTGGCAGGGGGCCAGTGAGCGGGAGCAGGATCAGCCTGTCCACTGGGATAGAGGAGACAGGACTGGCTTCCCAAAAGAGTAGGAAGTGGCCTGTGACCTGGGCCTTGAAGGACAGTCCGATGTCAACAGAGCATTTTGGAAATGGGAGTAGATTGTGTTGAAATTGAGAATTTGCTCTCTGGCCAGCAGGCCCCAAGTCAGAACTTACACGTTCACCTCTCACTAAATCAAATGTGAGTCTCAGTGGGCTCCACTGTAGTTGGCTACTTGGGGCATCTTCTGAGTGCTACCTGTGCCTCTCTTGCCCTGCCCTCTGCCTTGGTTTCCCCAGCCCTGAATTCAAGAAGCTGTTGCACATGCGCCCTCTAGTGGAGGAATCAGATTGTGAATTTGGGTTTGGAGCAGGCATCAGGGGTGGCTCTGCCCTTGCTTGAAGAGCAGGGTACTAGAACCCTGGAAGCACTGTCACTCAGGTTCCTGCTCCTGTGGCAGGAAGCTAATGCCAGTTGCAGGAGGCTACAGCTTGGTCAGGCACCATGGAGACCAGGCAGTGGGCCTGGGGACCAAGGTATGAGGGCAGACCCTCTCATCCTGCTTTGTGACTGGAGGCAAGTGTCCCTGGAGTGCTGAAAGTTGTCTCTGGCCCTGACGTCCTTGGTGGGTAGGTCCTTGAAACCAGACAGGGCAGGAATAAGCAAGTGACAATGACCCAGCTGAGTAGGACAGGACCATGTCTTGACACTAGGAGTCTTGGGAGGCCTCTCTACTGGGGTAGAGGGGGCACACTGGGTCCCGAAGAATGCATGAGGCTCCATGTACATCTCTGCTGGGGGTTTTGATACGGCTACATGATGGGGGCCTGGGACAGGGTTAGCAGTGTTTGTGTGTTGCGTGGGAGCTGCTATAGACAAGCTGAGTCTCAGCCTTGGCTTTTAAGGTGTTTGTAACCTTAGGACCTAGGGGATTGGGAACGTGTGGGGGCAGGCCACAGGGCTCAGAAGAGGCTCTTGCAGCCCCCTCACTGCCCTACCCTATGCCCAGCTGTGGAGATCTGAGTAGCCCCTTCAGCTAGAGTGGGTGGGATGGGCTCCTGAGAAGGTCCTGGGATTTGCTAACCACCGGACCAGGGGTACAGGATGACCATTACAGCTTGTCTTGGTTGCCTTTCTTGATGCTGAGACAAAATACCTGACACCCAATGTTAAAGGAGGAAAGGTTTATTTAGCTCATAGTTTGTGAGGTTTCAGTTCATACACTGAAATTATAGAGGTTTCAGTTCATAATAGCTGGCTGCAAGGCAGGGTGGCATAGCAGAGGGGCATCGCAGAGGGGAAACAGTTCACAGCAGGCAGAAGGCAGCAAAGCAAGCAAGCAGCAAGCCACAAGTGACTTTCTGTCTCTTATTTTGTCCAGGCTCCCCACTCAGGGCGGGTAGCACTGACATCCTTAATCCTAGCATTGCACCCTGAATCAATCCTGCAGATCCTGTGCTCGGGTAGAAGAGGGGGCTTTTGCTTGAGACCAGCCTCCGCCTGGCCTCCTTCTGTGCCCAACTAGTGCCTGGCCTGGCTACAGGCCATCTCCGGCAGCCTGGACTCTGCCCTTGTTCACCTGCCTACGCGTTGCCCTGGACCCTATCCACTCATATTACAAGAGTCAGTCTCAAAGCTGCCTGGCTACTCGGGCTTGGCTCTAAGGTAGAGTGGAGATCCTGGTGGCCATGGGTGGGGATGTCAGGATGTGGTTCTAAAATTGTGTTGGTAGTGTAGACAGGCCCTTGCCTGGACCCCCTGGACCCCATACCCTCAGGGCCCTGTTCAGTCACCAGGTCTGAATCCTCAGGGTGATGAGTGTACTTTGGTGGCCTGTCCTCAAGGCCCTACTGTGCAGAGTCCACAGAGGCCCTGCTGGATCACGACCATTGCCTCAGAGCCCTTGGGTCCTGGCTTAGATCAAAATACATGTATCGGAGATGTTACTTGTCTCTGCTTTGGCCACCTGGCCTGTCAGGTGGGCCCTAAACTCCATGTAAGTGCTTGGTATAGCTGAAAGTGCCCCACTGGTCTCTCAGAGCCAGGGTTTTTTCCCTATCAGTGCACCATGCACGTTTTGGGTGTATAAAGAGGTTAATTCACTGAATGGGCAATGCTGGTCCTGCTTGGGAGCCAGGCAGCAGAGCAATGCGGGGGCTCCTGCTCCAATTGTAGCCACAAGGCTAAAAGCTACCTCCTGAGTGGGACTGGGGAGGGCTTCACACAGGATGTGGCATTTGCATGGAGCCAGGTAGACGGAGCAGCTGTAAGGTGGGACCTTCTGGGGACTGTGAGGAGTGGGACTGGCACATAGGTTCTGGTGCCCAGCATATCAGCAGGACTTGGGCTTTGGGTTGAAGCTGACTTGTAACCAGCAGAGGGTTTGTAGGGCATCTTTGACTGAGGCAGCTCTCACGTATGGGTTGAAGCCACCCTATAATAACCAAATAGTGCCAGCCTCACTGAGCTGTCAGGAAAATGAACAAGTGACCATAGGAAGTGTATGGTGCATGTTGCTTCTTGTACCAAGAGATGCAGGGATCTGGCTGGGACCCTCCTCTGCCATGCTGTCCCCAGTCCCAGTCTTTCGTGTCTTCCCAGGGGCTGAGGAGGTGCTGCTGCTGGCCCGGCGCACGGACCTGCGGAGGATCTCTCTGGACACACCAGACTTCACAGACATTGTGCTTCAGGTGGATGACATCCGGCACGCCATTGCCATTGACTATGATCCGTTGGAGGGCCACGTCTACTGGACGGATGATGAGGTGCGGGCCATCCGCAGGGCACGGTTGGATGGGTCGGGGGCGCAGACACTGGTGAACACTGAGATCAACGACCCCGATGGCATTGCTGTGGACTGGGTGGCCCGCAACCTCTACTGGACCGACACGGGCACTGACCGCATCGAGGTGACGCGGCTCAACGGCACCTCCCGCAAGATCCTGGTGTCTGAGGACCTGGACGAGCCCCGGGCTATCGTACTGCATCCTGTGATGGGGTAAGGCTGGGCAGGGCCACCTGGGTGCCAGGAAACTTAAACATGCTGCCCTGGAGGTTTCCCTGGCATCCAAATCACTTGCAGAGGGTGGGGCACCCGAATTCTGACACAGTGGGTCTAGCCGGTTGAGAACTTGCATTTCTCCCCTCTTCCTTCCTTCCTTCCCTCCCTCCTTCTATCCCTCCTTTTGTCCTGGGAATTGAACTCAGGACCTTGTGCTTGCCAGGCAGGCATTGTGCTGCTGAGCTATACCCCCAGCCTGAGAACTTGCATTTCTTAGCTAATGCTGCCGGTGCTGGTCCTTAGGGTAGACTTTGAGACAGGCTGTGTGCAATGCATAGAAAGCCCTGGAGACTGGAGTAGTCACTGCTTCCCCTGAGTGTTAGTTTCCTCATCCTGTAGCGCATCAGTCTACCAGGGTGACTTCCGCGACGCTCATGGCGACAGTGAGGGTGGTGGTTGTGTGGTACCTACCATAGCCCAGCCTCTTCTGAACACACAGTGACTTTTCATCTTCCGCTTACCTGTGGGGTAGGCACAGTTGTATAGTACAGGATTCTGAAGCCCAGAGAAGTAAGGAACTTTCCCTAGGTCACACAGCCGCTAGGTAGCAAATTGGGGACTAGACCCAACATTTTGTTTCCAACTTTCTATTTAAGGGGTCTGTGTGAAGAGAGAGCTTTTCCGTGAGTGAGGGGGCCTGCTGAGACCCCAGAAGCTCAGAGGGTAGTGGCCGAGTGCCTCTCTGGGTGCCCCTAATTGAAACACTGATGGGTAGACCGTGAAAGAGGAGGTGGGCTTGGGCTGGGATGCTGCGCACACTGCCTGTCTTCTGTGCAGGATGTGGCCTGTGTCCTGACATGCCATGAGGTGGCCAAAGGACAGTAATGGTGGTTGCCATCTGCAGAGCACCTCATGGCACCAAAGGTGTTGTTCTTTTTCATGGCCCAGGGCCGAGGCTCTGAAGGCAAAGTGACTTTCCTCCTGGTGCCTGTGGGTGGTGGCAGCCGGCTCCAGCCTGGCTGGCTGTGGAGCTTGTCCTGCCACAGGGCTCAAGTGTAGAGGCTGAGCAGGTCAAGTGGGTTACACCCCGATGCATGGTGCAGTGGTCAGGATGGAGGGCTGGGAAGAGGGTTGGCACTTGAGCAGCCTTCTGTGACTCTGAGACACAGCAGCAGGTGAACACAGCAGCTCCATGTTGGCGGTTGAAGGTAGGATTGTCACCCAAGGAGGATGGCTAGGGCAAGGCACAGGGTCCCCTGGGGCTTTGGGATTGAGAGGGAAGAGGGGCCGGTGGTCAGCTCAGGAGGAGGGGAGATGGCCCTGAGGTCAGGAGGCTCAGGATCTGCTTTCTGCTTTGCTGTCAGTGTACTTGGTCAAGCCACAGCCCCACGGGCCTCAGCGGTCTTCCACTGTGAAATGAGCTGGAAGAGCAGACTTCTGAGTCCTTCCAAACCTTCATTTTGAGTCTTAGGATCTCTAGCTAAATAGGTTTGGCAGTCAGGTGTGGGAGACTATGGTGTCCAGATTGCTGAGGAGGAAGGGTGCCCAGGGGACTGGGACTGGTCAAATGCGGCAGCAGCTGAGGCTGTGACATGGACTCAGCTTGGGCTCGTTTTCCTGCACTGAAACCTCTGCCCCCAGCCACTACTCAGGACATAGCTACCCTCCTGGGGCCACAGATAACCCACCGTCCGTGGCGCTAGGGAGCCGCTCTGTGTCACAGAAGGCTCCGCTTGGCCTCCTGCCTCCATCTGGCAGCCCCCAGGTCTGATGAAAGGCTGTCCCAAACCCTCGGCAGGGTGTCTCCTGTCAGCGTGGGGGCAGGAGATGAGGCCCTGGCCTCTGTGAGTCCGAGGGTACATATGGTGGTGTCACTCTGGGCCACCACGATTCCTGTGAAGCCAAAGCTCTTCCTGGCTCAGCCTGAGCTGAGCCCTCCATGCGATGGGGAAGCTGGGGGAGGGGTCACACTTGGAACCGAGGAGGTGACAGAGGTGAGACAGATGCTGTCATGGGCACTTGCTTCTTCTGCAGCCTCATGTACTGGACAGACTGGGGGGAGAACCCCAAAATCGAGTGTGCCAACCTGGACGGGCGGGAGCGGCATGTCCTGGTGAACACCTCCCTCGGGTGGCCCAATGGCTTGGCCCTGGACCTGCAGGAGGGCAAGTTGTACTGGGGAGATGCCAAGACAGACAAAATTGAGGTGAGTCCTGCTGAGGGGGTGGCACGAGGATGGAGGGGAAACTGCGCGGTAAGGGTGCTTCTTGCTGTCTCTGCATCCAGGGGCCTGGCCTGGCCACACCTGTGCCTGTCCCATGGGGCTGCTGCGGGCAGGGCAGTCCCTTTGTGTGTTGGGCGATGAGATCCTTGGAAAGTATTTTAGGACAATACTTTGTGACGCGCAGAGGGGCCTTGAGAAGGTCTGTGTGAGTTAGTGGCCTTGCACCACGTGCCGTGATGCCATCATGGGAGGGGATAGGAGCCCCCTCACCTTTGCTGCTTAACCTATTTCAGAACACAAAGGGATCAGAAGAAAACAAGCAGACCCTCACATGTCCAGCCTGCAGCTGAAGACGTAAAACACTGATGCTGCTAAAGCCAGAGGCCACTGCTGTCCTGAGTTCAGTGATTCACTCCCAAGTGGTTAAAGACAGTTCGGGGTTTTTAGCTGACGCGGGCTCCCCCCAGCAGCATGTAGTCCTGTTCGGTGTGGTTTGCCTGGTTTAATTTATTATTATTTTTTTTTTGGTTTTTCTCCGGTACCGGGAACCGAACTCACGACCTTGCGCTTGCCAGGCAGGCGCTTTGCCGCTGAGCTAAATCCCCAGCCCCTGCCTGGTTTAATTTAAGTGGTGTCGTCCTGTATGGCTCCTTTGGCAGCTTGCTCTTTGCTCACCCTGGAGCCTCTTCCACAGGCATTTCTTTTGAGATGCAGTTGATGGCGGCAGCACGGCAGTGACGTTTGTCCTTGTCCCAGTATGTCCCTGCTGTTGGTTCCCTTCCTCTGGGTGGATACCTCCCTCTCTTTCTGGTAACTTCCAGACAATCCCAGGATGTGAGTGTGTTTGTATCACTCCCTGGTGATGTCACCATGAGGGCTGTCACTGGGTGCCCCTCTTCTCCTGGCTTCTGAGGGGGACCTGAGCCAGGCAGCTTGCAGGGGGAGCATGGGGTGAGAGCATGGACATGTGTCTGTCACAGGATTTCAGACCCTGCTTCTCAGTGGGAGGATCCTTGGTGTCATTGGGGACAAGAATCTTGGGCTTTGGGGTTCTTGTCCCCAAAGACATGAAAACCCAAAGGGCTATGATTGTAGCCATTTCTTGGTGAAACTCCTTATAAACGATCTTTAAAAAAAAAAAAAAAAAGAATTTTGTGAAGAGCGTGGTGGCATACTCTGTAATCTACTAGGGAGCTATAATCTACTATAGTGACTAGGGAGGCTGAGGCAGGAGGGTATCAAGTTCAAGGCCAGTCTTGGCAATTTAGTCTAGAGAAAAAAAAAAAAGATGATTTTGTTGCTAACAGGATTTTGGAGACACCTATCTCCTGGTCTCCTGGGCCTGGGAGCCACAAGGTGAGGACCTGACTTCTGAGGCAGCTGAGGATGGTTTGGCTTCATGTACTCCACCTGCCCGGGAGCCTGTTAGGAATGTATGCAGCCAGAGATGCTGCAGGGCCTGCCTACACTCCCGCAGCAGTGTGGCATTGAGTGTTTCCACAGTGCTGTGCAGCTCGGTGTGCTCTCCTTCCAGAGCCCTCATCACCCCAGAAGGAAACGCTGGGCCTGTTCCCAATCACTCCGGTCCTCCCCCAGCCCCTTGGCCTCTGGCAGCTGTGAATCCACTTCCTGTCTCTCTGGATTTGTCTCTTCTGGACATTTCCTGTGATAGGAATCCTACGTATGTGGCCTTTTGTGTCTGTTAGTTACATAATGTTCTCAAAGCTCATGCATGCTGCACACGTGTCCATACTTCCTTTCTTTTCACGGCTGGCTAATATTCCACCCTTTCTTTGTCTGTTCGTCAGGTGATAGACCTTTGTCTTTTTCTATGAATGATGCTGCTGTGAATATTTGTGTACAGGTTTGTGTTGAAATACCTTTTCAGTTACTGTGGATATCTGCCTAGGACTGGAAGTGCTGGATCATATAATCCTTTTATGTTGGACTTTCTGAGGGACCGTTAAAGTGTTTTCCATAGCAGCTGTACCGTTAACATTTCTGTTGACAGTGTATGACGATTTGTTTTAAGTTCTACCTTATTGCCAACCCTTGTTCTTTTCTGTTCTTTTTTTTAATTATTTTTTTATTTTTAATCCTAACCATTGTAGTGGTGCCCCACATGGTTGGATTTCTGTTTCCCTGATGGCTAATGACATCGAGTATCTCATCATGGGTTTGTCCTATGGCAGAATTTTGAGAAATGCTTCCTAGTTTGCATTTGCAGAGGAGAAACTGAGGTCCAGGGGAAAATGACCTGTGCAGGGCCTCTAGCTTAGAGTCCATCAAGCCTAGCCCTTTCCTGAAACCCTTCCCTGCAGCTTCCCAATGTCAGGGACAGGGCCCCCAGCGCGTCCCACATTTCAGATGACAGATTACAGCTCAGAACAGGAGCATTTACCCCAGACTGAATATATAGACATACAGGTCAATCTTAAAATCAACCCACATCTGGAGGTCCTGATTGGAGTGGGACAGAGGGCCTAGGGCAGTGGAGGGTGTCTTTAAGAAAGAAGTCCAGATTTTTTTCTTGTTTTCTCTTCTTCCTGCTCCCCCTGTTCCTCCTTCTCTTCCTCCTCCTGTGTGCTGAGGACGGAACTCAGGATCTTGCATGTGTTAGGCAAGCGCTCTGCCACTGAACTATACTTGCTGGCCTGAAGCCCAGATTCTTTTTTTTTTTTTTTTTTTTTTGTCTTTTTGAGACAGAGTCTCACTATGCAGTTCAGGTTGGCCTTGAGCTCACTTTGTAGCCCAGACTGGTCTTGAACTTGCAACAGTCCTCCTGCCTCATCAGCCTCTGGAGTGCTGGGATTACAGGCATGAGCCACCACGCCCTGCCAAAGCCCAGATCCTTGATGCTGTGCTTAGGAAGTTAGAAACATCAGGAGAAGTCAGAAAGTAAGAAGAGAAATTCATTCTGGAAGAATCAAAGATGTCACAGGAAAAGGGTATCCCTGAAAGTCATCGCTTGGCTTGTGTCTTTACTGTCACAGTGCTGTAAGCATGATCTTTTGATTTCCTGGTCTTACAAGGAGTCCATATATCAACCAAGCCCTGTAGTGTTGAGCCACTGTAATGGTGACAGACAGAAGCTGAAGGGAGAGAGGAAGAGGGAGGGGGTGGTGACGCCCTCCCATTAGCACCTAGACAGGTGAGAGATACTCTGAACATGGGAGGCAAGAAAGGTCAGAGGACAATAGTTTCCTGAATGACCAGAGGAACTGAAAATGGTGGCACTGGGTAGAGAAGGGTGGGGGACGAGGAGTGAGTGATGGACCCAAGTCTACCACAGAGTGGCAGGCAGTGGGCAGTGCTGGCACAGCTCACTCAGGAACTCATGCTGTAAGCACTTGGCCTGACCTCAGGGAGCTCCCTGCCAGACACAGAAAAGGAGCAGTGAGGAGCGAGGGCAGTGGGTAGGGACCGGAGCGCACTTCCCATGGGCCTCCCCTCAGAGCCTGTGCTGTGCTGAAAAACGTGGTACAGGGAGGGGAGCCAGTCACAGAAACATTCTCAGACTACACCGCTGAAGGCCCCTCTCTTTCCCTACCATGGTCCGAACCAGGCCAAGGGCTCAGTGCCTCAGCTGAGCTGAGGGGACTGTGCTGGTTACTCACTGGCCCCAGGGAGGCTGTCCGTGCAACATGGATGCGGAGACCATGGGTTCCTTGTTTTCTGCTGGAACTTGGTGCAGCTTCCTTCCTTTTCTGAGAGCAGGAGCTGAACCTGGATGTGTCGGCAGGTGCCCAAGGATCGTGGCTTTTCCCAAGGTCCAGCCCAGATCCTGGAACAAACCTTGTAGTGTGTTTGAGTGGAGAGATACCCAGGTTCAGGCTGCTGTCATAGCAGCGGGCTTTGGAGAATACACTTGGGGATCTGCCCACAGGTTTGTGCCACGGACACCCACCTTCCAGGCAGGAACTGTAGACTGGTTACTACTCACTCAGTAATCAGCATTTAATGAGCATGTAATGTGCAGCAGGTGTGTTCCAGGCCTTGGGAGCCTTCATAAACACACGCAATAGGTGCTCCTGCAAAGTGCCCTTTGGCTGCCTCTTACACAGACTATTGCAGGTGGCTGCTCCCCAGGCACAGTGGCCGCTGCTGACTGGGAGGTCTTAGAACCATTTGGGGAGCTGCCAAGGTGCCAGGACACATGCTTACATGTTAGACACTCCAGGTAGGAGACATGGTCAGGAAAGGTGTGAGAGGTCAGGAAAGAGACAGGACATGCTTTGAACCATGGTGACATTTCTAAGAAGTTATGTCAGAAGAGAATGATATGGCCAAGCCACATTACCAGGCTGTAGCAGGGCCTCCCCAGTCATTCCTTTTGTCTGGAACACTTTCCCGAGAGAAGAGAATGATATGGCCAAGCCACATTTTCATAAACCTCAGCACCAGCCGGAGGCATCTGCTGCCCCTTGACTTTGAGGGGGAGGAAGGGTCCCATTCAACATGGTGTATGCCTGTCCTGGCTTTGAAAGCAGAGTGCAGGCACTGAAAGAAAGGCACTGTGCATGGTGTGAACTGGCTGTCCCTTTGAAGAGGCAGCCAGGCTACCTGTGTCCCAACTTCCGTCCCCAGGGAGGATTTACAGACAGCCTGGCTGATCCTTTGATGAGTCGAGAGAAGGACAAAGGTCTGAGAGTGTCGAGCTGATGAATTGGGTTCCATCTGGGTGGCATTAGCACACTGATCAGGTTGACTGAATGGAGGGTGTGGGTAGGTCCAGGCGGCGTCCTCCTGCTGGCCATTTATGTGACAACTGTCCTGGAAATCAGGTTTGAGGGATCAGCACTTTACATACATGGTAGTGGCCACCCTACCTGATGACCAGCTGGTTGTCATCATTGGTAACAACTGAGAGTCACAGGGTGCGGGCTGAGGCCAGTGCCTCGCTGCCTCCTTGTGGGAGATGGCCCTGAGCTCCTCTCCCCGCTGCTGGGGCCATCTAGGTCATTCCTGATGCCGGCAGGTTG